CTGTGCACATTGCTTCATTTTTATGTCTGTGAAAATTCCTGTTTATTCCAAACAGGCTACTCAAGTGTATTGCAAGTGTTCAATGAGGCTCCTGACCTGGGGAGGGTGAAAAGTGGCTGTGGTATAGCTGGTACAGGGAAGTTTTCATTGAACCTGCATTTTTCCCAAGAAGAGTGAATGAACTGAATTCACATTCAGCATAGGTTTTTCTATATTTGCGCAATTTACTACCTAGTTGAAATGGTAAATAAAGCAATAGAGTTTGGCGAAAAGGGAAAGACATTTATAGGGCTTGTTCTGTAGGTCTCCAAGAAAGGGAGAATTCCCCGGTTGGTTCCTATACTGTTCTTTGGTCATGCAGTTGACTGTAACTGTGATGATAGTTATAGCTCAGTTTTACAGGTCTTTGGAGAGGTTATCAACCCTGTGGGACTTCTTAATGGGACAGAATACCCCAGCGTAAAGATGATGTTTTCTTCTTTCATGTTTCATTGTTTCAAAGCTAACCAGAATTCTTCTAAAGAAGAACAAAAATTTTTTTTTTATTGTAGATTTATAGGTGAAATTTTGTTTCAAACAATAATTTAATTTGAGAGACAGTTCTCTAGCAATTTGTATTAAAATTGTTCCATGTATGACAGAGTCTCTTCCGAAAGGTGCTCCGTTGTCACAACAGGGCTGTTTGCCAACAGCATATAGAATTTACACTCTCTGCTTTAGGAAGTTGCTGTTGAACTGTCCAAGTAAGTGACACTCTCTTCTTTTAAGATGACAGTCCAGCATGAGCCGCTGAAAGCACTTGGGCCACTGAAGCCTCGGCAGCACATCTCGCAGGAGCACAGGCACCCGCGCGTCTTGGCTGGGCTTCAGCCAGGGGAGTCGTGTTCTGCCTGGTCCATATTTCTTCTGCAGTTTCAGCTTGGATGAGGGTCAATCCTTATTTCTCGCTGAAAGTGATTAAGCAATCGCTGTGTTTGACTTCCAGTATCACTGGGCTTAATCAGTGGAAGAAGTGCAGAGGAGCAGGACGCACCTTTTGCAGGGAGTGAGCGGTGGCAGGCGGGCAGGGAAGGACACCGGGCCGAGCTCCTCAGCCCCTGACACTTGCCACCTGGCTGCAGCAGTCCCCGGTCTCTGCCTCAGTCGCATGGCAAGGTGGTGTGTGGGGCGCCAAGGTGTGTGTAAAACAACCTGCTTATGAAACTGAGGCACCTTTAAAGTTACAAACCGTAGCTTTCAGCCATCCGAGCCTGTTGTTGCTTCTGGCCCACAGCACATAACACGCTGGCAGATGGCTGTCCTTGCCAGCGCTTCCCCGTTGCAGCCACCGAGGGGACTGAATTCCATATTGCCAGTTCCACGTACTTGGGAATTAGGCATCGAGATGCTAAAATTGTGAACATGGAGGGTTTTCTGATTTGTATGCTGCTTTTTGTGGTAGTAGGATGTGCACTTCTGAGCTTTGCACCACAGCTGACAGAGCTTGGCTAGGAATAGTTATTTCCACTGCATTCTGGCATCAAGAAATGGGCTTTAAGAGTAGTACCAAATCTCGTGGAAGTCTCATTAAAATCTTGAGCAAGAGCAACCCTGCAAATTGGAAGCAGCAGCCGTGGAAAATTTTAGCCAAGCGTTGGCATGAAGCTTAAGCTTTACATGATTCTCCAGTCCTTTTAAGCCCCAGCACCTTTGCTCCAGTGATATAAGACTTCCTTTTATTTTGTTAGTCCTAGCCGTAAGTAGGGAGTTATTTAATGGGCATTAGTCATAATGTCACGGATATTACACTTCTGAGGCAATTTGGGAGCTCGTGTGACCTCCATCTGTGCTGGTGGCCGCATGAATTTTGACCCCCCTTTTCCTGCTGCTTTTTGGATTTCCCTTTCTAATTCCTTAGTGTCAAGTGAAGCCCACGCATTATCGTCCCTAGCAAATGGTAGGGGCTGGGCAGCATTCAGGTGCTGCAGGAGGAAATGAGCACATTGTCCTCAGAGTTCCTTGCAGAGCTAAATAAAGATTTACAGGGCAAAAATAAAATGATGTAAAGAACCTGACAGAAATGGGACGGTAACTGGAAGGTATTAAAAGGCAGGAACGTGCAGTGTTATTGAACCGACTGCCTGTGTTTAACAGCCAGCAGATAAACCTGCTAAAGTTGACATTGGCTTTGGCAGCTTAAGACATTAGAAATACCCTGAGCACATGTACTGTGTGACTGCTCATTAAGACGTAAGTGAAAGATTGCTGTCTACTGGGTAAAAGTGTTTATACTGCAGGAAATAGATTAAGTGGTGTTTTAATACACAGGAAAAGAAAAAGTGGTAGCTTAAAAGCAAAAACCAAAACCCCAAAACAAACATTATTTGCCTTGGCTTGGTGTGAGAAACAGCTGTAGGATGTATTTCATGCAGCTTATAATGAGAAATTAATTGCAGTGAAAAAACACAAACTGCCCCAAACAAATTATGACACATAGCACATTTTTTCTCTTATTTTTTAATGGATAGCTTAAGGGTTTTAAGAATTTTTTCACACATTAATAGAGAGACCAGAAAGCTGATAGTCCAAGTTGATAAAATCATGGGCAAGGCTCAGATAACCTAACTTCTTCTAGAGAAAACACTTCCTCAAACAGATTTTGTGTTGCCAAACATCCCCTACAAGCACATCTTTTTAAAAGGTAAACCCTGTCTTTTCAGAAGGGAGGCATGTCTTCCGGAAGCTCAACTATGAACTACCTTTCATGTCCTTTTAGTTTCATTTGACATCCAATTTAACCCCATCCCAGTATGCAGAATGTTTTCTGAATTTAATTCTGGTTTTCTGAATTCCATTTTTTCCAAATTATTTCCAGACTTGGTAAAGTGGAAATCTTGTACAGTCCTGAAAATTGGTTTTGATAATGGTGGCTGAAAGCTTGCAAGCACAGCAGCTGCAAGTTGGGTACTGAAGAACCCAGACCTGGATCTCTGCCCTCAGTCTTGATGTAGAGAGCTGGACCTAGGATGTGTTCGTGAACCAACACCATGCATTAACATAACACTCCTTGAAAGAAGAGCAGTGACTTTTCAATTGTAACGAAGAGGCAGCGGAATTTTTCTTAATTCATTTAGGAAACACATTTCTTAGACACCATAACTTCTGTGTCATGAAATATATTTCATTCCAGTATAAAGAAATATATTAGACGTGTGTAATCAGGGTTTATTTTTTCAAAACATCTTGATTCTAAAGCAGCTTGCCATTTTATCTGAATTAAAAAGACCATCCACGCTATTACAGCCTTTTTGGCCAAATCACACAGTGTTTAACTGAAATATATCAGTATAACAGATGTGTGTTATCATCACTGTGGCCTTTTTACTCACAGCATTGCTATCTAGCCAAATGCTCCTTATAGACAAATATACTTGACTTACCTAAATTGAAATGTCTAATTGAAAAATAGCGAGAAACATGAGAGTCAGCATGGGACTAACATAGAAATAGTGCTGCATCTGATGTGCTCAATCACTGTTAGTCTTTGTAAAACATCCATGTTTCAACATAGCAGTGAATAGAAGGGGGTGGCTGCTGGACCACCGAGTGTGCTGTTGGGCTGCTTCTATTCGTAGAGTAGCAAACCAAAAAAAAAAAACCCACTGGTTTGAAAGAAAAATTCTGTTCTGCTGCAGAAAAGTGTCAGTTTTCCACCAAAATGTTTAAATGCTACATGCTAACAATGTAACCAAAAATTATGTTAATACAGTCTGTTGATTCTTGGGTTTTAAAAAGCAGGGATTTTCTGTGTTGCTGCATCCTTTGAACTTTGATTATGTTTTTCTACATTCCTTCAAGAATAAATGCAATGGAATAAAAGGTATAATCCCTGGTGGGACATTCACTGTCCTACTCCTGTGGCAGGATGTGGGCAGGGAGGCGTACTCAGAAACCACTCTTCCCCATCCAGCCCCAGGAGTGACACCGCAGAAAAAACTCTTCCTTATGGGGCTAAGGGGAGGAGAGGGGAAAGGTAAAAGGAATTAGTGTCTGGATTTAGCTGCTGTAAAGTATCTCTTTATGCTGGCTTGAAGGCCAGTTGAGGCATGCAGAACGTTCCTGGCAGAGTTCAGTCCATCACTGGCCACTATAATTTGCCATAGCTAGAAGTTGAATGTATATGAAACCTGTTTTTCTGTGAAGACTGGCTAAGGTATAGTAATACTGCTTCTTACAGGTATTTGAGTCAGAGAATGAGATCCCCAAAACAGTTATTTGCGCACAGAGCTCTCGGGCTGGGGTTAGTACTCTTCTTTCTTTTGTCGCATGCAGGTAATTCATCATTTACTTAGAAGCAGTCACAAAGCAGTTATCAGCTGCATCAACAACATAGTCTCCAGAAGAGTGCTCAGGCATAGGGATGCATAGCTGTTGCCACATACTGATGGAAATGAAATCTAGTTTTCAGTTAATGTAATAGACTCCTAAAAACTGCTAAAACCGGGTTTGTTTCCTTAAAAATCAACATCGAAACTCAGTAGTGGGTGTGTTAGGCCAAAACTGCAAGCAATTTCAGCTCATCACATTTGACATAACTTGGAGGAGAGGCTGACCGAGGCTTGCTTCTTGGCACAGCCTACCTGTTCGCATACTGCAGTTTCTATCTGAAACCACTGAAGTATAAAGGTAGGCAATTGCTCGCCAGCCAAGAAATGAGTAATAAACGTAAGAATTTCAATGTGCCATTTTAGCCTTATCTCTGAATCGTCTTTCATGGTTTCCACTAAATAGTGTGTCTGGCCATAACCTGTTTATTTTTACACCTGTAGTTAAATCTGGCCCCTGCTGTAAACCGAGGTCGTCCTTTGAGGTCATTGAGTGCCTCTGGCATAACATCGTGTCGGCATGTACTGGTGTGCGGGATGCGGCCTGGCCCTCCATGGGAACTCCATGTCTGTTGCGCCCAGCTTTTTGAATTTTGGGAAATTATGGCTGGGTTTTCACACACATCTCAATTTCAGCAGGGCACTCGCTTTGCGGCGACCCGGACAGCTCTGTTGAGACAGCTCCAGAGGAGGCAGAAGCGCAAGACTTGGAGTCATCCGATGAGGCCGATAAGATGAGCAAGGTGAGAAAGTTTCATTTTCACACGACAAGGAGCAAAAGTGCAGTACACTCACAGCTGATGTGCTGACTTCACAGCTGCACCCGATTAGAGCACCTTTCCTGGGAAAAAGTTAATCTTACTTTTAAGGTGTTTATGGATGATACTGAAGGTAACAAATTACAGCTTTGATTATGGCACATCGCTACCTCTTAACTTGTGCCCTTTTCCCAGGGTTGGTTCACATCTTCAGTATCTTGTGATAACATTCCTGCATAGTTTTCAGATGGGCTGGTTTATCACCTCCTTCACCAGAGCAGGTCAGCTTAACCAACGATTTCTTATTCCTTCTTGATTTCTCGGCATAGGAGGTATCTAAGTTAAACAGTATTCTTGTAAATCAATAGCATAGTGCACATGCTAGTTTTTAAATGCAAACTAATTATAGCCAATCTACCTTAAATTGAAGCAAAACTCTCCAATTATAGCTAAGAGGTTGTGCAAATGCATTGCTAATTGCCGTCTATTAAGGGATGGGTTTCGCAGTGGTTGGTAGTTTGCAACTTGGTCTGGTGCTGGGGAGCTTTACACAACATAAGGTGTGATGATTAGTGGCTTTTGCGGCAGAATCAAGTGAGGTTATTTTGAAGGCACTGATTGCTTTTAGGTGTTTGTTGCAGAGGTGATGGTTAGAGCTTACAGCTATTTTTCTGCAGAAGCTATGATCTTATGAGTATCCGATCTCACTCCGTCTGTGCTTATGTACAGGTGTGTTGTTTCTCAGCTCTTGTTTTAACTGAAATGTGTTACAGTGAGCTCTGAACTGGTCCCTGTGCTGTTCTACTTGTTATTGTAGCAAAAGGAAGGAAAAGACCCTGGCCTCTTGTTTCCTGATCTCTTATGTCAAGCTAGCCTGTAGTTTTGTCTTTGATAGCCAGGCAGTGGAAGTCAGATAAGAGGAAACATTCCTATGCATGAAATACATGCAGAGCTTGTATGCAGAGAAGGTGATTACTCTTACAGTTTGTTTCCAGGTCTTGTTATAGGACTTTTTCTTGTAAGTACAAAGAATTTCTTCTTGAGTAAGTGGAAGTGTTTGTTGATACTTTGGGATTTTTGACGGTAAATATGTGGGATTTTCATATGCTCTGAAAGGAGTCTCTTCTGTTAAACGCTGAAGCTGTGGAAGAGCACCAAGCGTAACACGTAGCTGCTTGGGGAATAAATGTTCATGCTGTGTTTTCTGTAGCTTTCTATTTCTGAACTGTGTGACAGGCTGTGGGGTTCCATTTTGCATTTTGCCTCCTGGATCTTCAGAGCTGTAATTGCCTGAAGCAAGGCGTAAGGATTACATGATTAGCCTTGTGGCTCAGCAGATTTAGTTAAACTGAGAAATGTGCATTAGCAGCTCTAATACTTAATATTCTTATCTTGGAAGAGTAACTTGTAACTCTAACAAGCCTTGGTTTCAAATGAGAAGCAAACCTGTCTTTCTGCAAATGAAATGTTAACATCAGTACATGTTTTCTTTTAAAATTCAGAAATAGGTCTTGTTTTGTTTGTGTGATACAGAGGGGAGTGAGGCATTTTACTTCGCTTTCTGTTTATTATGGGACAAACTGCTTGAGACGTTTGCACCTATAGTATATATACTGTGTGCTCGATTTGGCAAACTCATGAATGCCACTGTCCCTGTTCAGGTAGAAGAGCTCTGTACTAAGTGGGCTTTCTTTGTGGCTCCTCTCTAACAAAAGCTGCAGAAACCCCCAAATTATTTTGCAATGCCTATAGAGAATTCTGGTATATAGTACAAGGGAGAATGTCATTGTTTGCTAATCACATGCTAATTTTTAAATACAACAACAAATTAAAAAAAAACTAACCTAAAAAAGCTCAGTCAACAGGAGGGTTTTCCTAATCCCTTTGCTTTTCTGTGTGCTTGGAAAAGCCAGTCTGCATGGGGAGTAAGATGTCTGCAGCATGTTTTTTGGAAACAGGGAAAGTCACCACCTGGGTGGTACGGTGAGGAAAAAAGCAAAGGTGTTTTCCTGTCCGTGCACTGCCACACCTTCCCATGCTCCCAGGATTATAGCGCAGAAGATTACGCTGATGTCCTCAGCACTGTTTTACACGGGTTATTTTTACATGTGGGAAGTGAAACACTCTGCCCTTGTACCACCAGGAGGGGCATGTTCTCCCGTATCGCCATTACTGCCACAGCTTCCCGTCTCCCTCGGATGGTGGAGTTGAAGGGAGCCTTTCTTTATTTTCTGTCCTTCTTGGCAAAAGCAGGGCAGGAGCGCTGTTTCCATTCACCACTGGGCAGCAGAGGAAATCCAGTTTAACTGTGCTGGAGCCTCCCACCGAAGCGCAGAGTTCCCCTTCTTCCAGTGCAGATGCAGCATTAGCAGCTGAAGATCTGAAAAAATAGCGTTCGGGCTGTCTCTTGCCATGCAATAGCATGATCCTGAGGCAGGGCTTAATCCTGCAAACACCACCGCTCTGCACCACGGTGCTGGCGGTCTGCTGATGCCCACAGAGCACTGCAGAGGAGGAGAGCTCCAAGCTTCTCCGCAAAGCGATCCCAGGGGAGAGTTAATAATTCATGGAAAAAGGAGAGGAACGCGGCGCCGCAGCTCTCCTTCATCCGCTCTTGTAGCACAGGCCGGGTAGGCTTTTTATGAAGGTAAGCTGTGTGAAATCCTACCAGAAGCTGAGCTTGGGTCCCTTCTGACTTACCTGTGACTTTCTCATGCCGGTGACAGGTAGATGTATAACACGGGAGGTACTCGAATGTGTCTTACCTTCTCCTCCTCCTC